TTAAAATAATGATGTAAATACATTCCGTTGTACAAATTTAACATAATATTTAACTTGCTGTAGGTTTGTAGGTTTTGTAGGTTGTAGTTATCAACCTGATTCCTATTATAAGTACTAGATCAGCCGTTAAACTACTATTTTGAAACTAGATTGCAGACTTACCCGAGGCATATCTTATCTTCAAACTTGCTCGTCTTCTTGCTACTTGTAAAACACATATCGTATCAGCGTATCTATAGTTATAGCTCAGAGCTATGTATAAGCTGCATATATATAAGCTGCATTGAACTATGTATCAGAACGCGCAAATATTATATTAAGTTACCAGTTCGGTAAAATAGGGGATTGCCATACGAGTATGGTATACACATTTTGGACGAGTGACGTAATATATTTTTCTCCATTACTACCTTAATCACCATACTCATCTCTGAGAGGTAATGATATAAGTTTGTAGCCAATCACTGACATTAGAATATTAAATACTGAGTACCAAACTTTGTTTGTAATTTTGGCCTTAGAAACAAGTTAAAGATTAACTAGTTGTTGAAAGATAAAGATGACTGAGAAAAAATGCATAGGCATTTAAGTAAGCAAGTAAGTATATTGTACAGAAGAGGGTTTTTTAGGTTTGGAAATTTTGATGCTATTATAAAATTATTTCTGTTCAAAAATAAAGTTGAGTTTATTTGAATTGATTCGTCAAATTCTGTTACGTTGATAATTATGTGTTTTATAACTACACTAGCTTACCCCATCGTGGTTATGCTCACGAAGATTGAAGTTAAACATATGTGACTACTTAAATTAAACTAAGAGAGAACTTATTCTTTTAGAACATTAAGAGGGTTCTAACAGGTCAATTCAAGATGGCGTCTAAACACGCTAACGTTCCTAAACATGCATCTGCGGTACAAGCTCTCAACGTTCTAAAACTAATTTGTTTCCAATAATTGTGTATTATTTGTGCTATTAACATTTCAGAGCTTGCAGTGGGTGGAGCAAAAATAATTTTTAATTATTATTTAGAAGTTAAAATTGCATATAAAAAAGACTAATTTACAGATTTTCAAAATGATTGTGTAAATACAAGAAACGAATACGAAATTTCAGTTCAGCCAGTGCATAGTTTGGATCTTTGTGAATATGTTACAGTTCATTTCAACTTGATAAAGAATTTAATGATGCCAGGAGGTTATTTTTGTAGGACCATGTTTACGCGGTCATCCGGCGGGTGGAACCCTCTACCAGGAGCTTCGGACTGCTCACTGTGAAACCACCTACATAATATTTTTGGCCAGAAAACAATTCCCACTGTATATCCTTTCACTTGGGTTTACATGATTGTGACATAGCTGTGCATGTTTACAGTGTCTATGATGTTTTCACCAAGCGGAATGTACTCACTTAAAAGTGGATTTTTCCCCTATCCAGTAAAATGAATTATTAACACTTAATATTATGCATACATTTCTCTAAAAAAGAAAAACGACAAAAAAAAAACTAAAAAAGCTAAAATAACTTTTACTTAATCCACCAAAAACGTGAACTGGGATTGTAAAGCGACATACACATCTGAAATTGCATGATTCATTGTGCCATTTTTATTAGCCTAGGGATGGAAGTGATTGAACTTAGCAAGCACTTCTGATTTTTTCTTTTGAGTCACATTATAAATAATCATAAATCATCATACGGGACTGAGTGTAGATGGATAAGCTAATCATAAACAGCTGGTGTCTGGCAAAATTCATTACCGTACATATTGTAATGTGAATTAGTAGTATGTATTATATCAAATTTGATTAAGCAGGCAGCAAACAGTTTTGTGCGTACTAAATCCATGCGTGGAAAGCTCATTAAAACAGAATAGTGTGATGAAAATATTATTAATTACGTATATACTGTATAGCATTCTGCAAAATATTATTTATTTAATGGCTGAACGAATTTAAAATTAAATTCAAAATAGCTTAAACCATTTTTATATAGATTTTGATATAGCGAAATACAGGCGCACAATTTTCGCTCGAATATTTCTCATAGACAAAAGATTAATTTTTCACAGCTAGTCTATCCGAATATGATTTAAATTTTAACAAAATAACGAAGATTGGAGTATTAAACGTGCATGTAGAATATAAATCCGTCATTAAGAAATTCGAGGCTCAATAAGAAACTTCAATGGTTAATTCAAATATTTGAAATTTTTAAAAACTAAACTGCAAAAGTAGAAAACTAGGATTAAATGTTCCACTTCAAGTTTTAATACAATTGACACATTTTGAGTTTCAAACGTTGACTCGCTTGAGTTTAATCATCCTGTATAAGCAGGTCATATTCTGTGTCGAAGTGATTTGGATTTGTATAGATACGGTAATAATCATTTTTACTTATTGTTTAACCTTTAAAAACAGCCAACATGAAGATTGTGTGGGTTGTTGTTTTAATAAGCTTTAATAAGTTTAATAAGTTTCCATTATATTAGAACAAGGCACCTGCTCATTAATAGTCATAATTAGAAGTATATATGTCGATATTCTTGTTAGAGCCGCTCTTTCCCGCACGCAAATGCCGGCCCATGGTTAGTATGTCTGTCGTCTGTGTGTCTGGAGAGTTCCCCAACTGCCGTCAGAGATGTCGAAACTAGGAATTCCTTTAGCGTTGCCATTTTCGGCTTTCATTTTCTAAGAATCATCCAGTTCAACATTTCTCTGTAAAATGGTATGTTGTGTTACTAAACTCCCCCCGTAGTTTGTCTCCCCACTATCTGTTTCATGTCCAACGAAGTATGTATACAAGCTGTATAGCTGTATATAGTTTGTAGTATCTGACAACACGTTTTCCTTCACAATGCGCAGTTATTTACTTTATTATTTATATCCTATTATTTATTTTACCTCGTCTATTTATTGAGGGTATAATCTTTTTCATAGGTAATATTAGCGTTAATTAAAAATGAACGTGATTTGAACCGCTGTCAGAGTTTGCTGATGTTGATTAAAAAACCTATTATATGGCAAAAATAAAGCAATTCCCGATTTCTGACGATAAGTAAACTCGCAACCAAGACAAACAGAAAGGATGACTTATTATAAACTCACAAAAACTGTCAAGTTATCACACTAAAGGACAGAGTATGATTTTTACAGTAGAGCACACCGTGATTGGATCATGCAACCATATTTGATTAGATTAAAGGATTAGCTGCAGCTGGTTCCTATGGATAGTATCCATAATGGTACAAGCGAATATCCTCCGTTAAAATATAGACAGTAACTCCTGAGGTTGAGGAGTTGGAGATGTGGTTTCTGTTGGCATCAACATCTATTCTACTACAACAGGATGTGTAGGTCAAATGTAGCAAGGTAAGCAAATACTGGAATAGTGGACTCTGAACTAATATCGTGTCTTTGAGTTGTAGGCTATATCCCACTTGAGGCAATTATCTGAAAAAGTAGTATGAAACTACGTATATGGTTACACAATTAAGTAGAAATGACACAAACCATTGTGAATACTGTTAAAATATTTAAAGATTATTTGTATTTTAAACTCGTAGCTTTATACTTGTGGTTTGCGTTGGGGCATGGTCGTAGAAAGAAGTAATTGAATCTGCTTGAATTCAGATAGTAATGTCACGGATACCTATCATAGAACTTGTCTGTTTTTTTATGTAATTGAATATCCGTAGAAAAAATTAACTCAGCTCACATTTCAACAAAACTATAGGCAGTTTTTTGTTTATTTAAGCTAGTTAGTGGTGCAAACTAATAAGCGTTCAAAACAAAGGGACGTGAAATTTTATTTTCTAACCCTTTTCATATTCATCGATCAAAATATTTTTCTTATTAGCCTAACATGGTAATAGCTCGGGAGAAAAAACAATCAAAAGGGCTGCCTATTAAATTTGTGAGTGATACAAAAAACTAATACAGATTTAAAATATAAATCAATAAAAAAATCACCGTGATTGAATGGCATTTAATTACTTAAGGACAAAAATACAGGAAGATGACGTATGTATGAGATTTAATATCTTATAACATTTACTTTATGTGACGATTCACTAGAGTTCGACGGGAGGGATAGAAAGACGAAATATCGACATCATATTATGTCATTGGAGTGTCTACACATTTTACAAGCCCCCTTGAGAAAATTACTATATTTATTTAAACGTTATTTTAAGTGTTATAAGACGTATCTTTATTTACTTTGCGTAAATTTAATAACACGTATAATGCTGATCAAGAAGTTATTTATATTTATTTGTTACAACATTTCATTTATACGTTTAACAGTATCAACAGGAATGCTAATCAAGATAAAATTAGATCAATAATCAACAGTTCCATCGGTGATTGTAGTAACTGAACTTAACGCGTAGATAACATATTTCATTCATGAATCACAATCTAGTTTTAAAGCTGATTAATTTATTCGTTCAATATGCAATTCCGAGATAAAATTACTTGCGTAATGTACAAAACGAATTATTTTTATAAAATAAACTGTTTCTAGTTTTCTTTGGAATAATTAAATGACTAGATGTAAACGAATAGATTTGGATTAGCTGAAATGAATTAACAATATTAGCCTTATGAAAATTGTTGATGGTTTTAATTTCATGATTATCATTTTCAGCTTTATCAGAGCTAACATTAAATATAAAGTAATAGTTAATTAAGTTAATTTAAGTGTTAGAAATCGTAACGGTTTACAAATGGTATTATACATTTAATTATAAAACTGAAATTGCTATTTTTACTCGAGCATTATTCATTAGATTATGCATAACAAGTCAATAAATAATAATTATCTGTTATTTAAAAATATACTAAAACACTTGTCTTTTTATGATGATATATAAAAACTATGACAACATTCGTAATACATAATGAGTGTAACCTAATTAAAATAACCATAAATCAATACAAAAATCACAAAACCTAAAGTAAAAATACTAAATTTTGTACAGTACAAGTTAAATAAATTACCTTCATAAGAGCAAACAGCTGATCATCGTTGAGGTTAAGTTTTCCATTTGGCGCCATGTCGACAGAGCACGCGCGCGCACGACAGCCACCACACAACTGAGAACTGAGGAACAGCTGTTAGCTGACAGTGGCTGTACGATCAGCTGTTCATCGCCTCACCAGTCACCTGTGTCATTAACCTTGGGAGCATCCAGGATCAGCATCGGTAATTGTACTGTCATCGTAATTATTTGTCCAGTAATTCTCATCTAATACATCACACTTTATCACTGTGGTTTTAGATTGGCTACGTCATGTACACGAGGTTTTAACATCCAGGTAGTTATAATGAGTTAGTTTTGGTGAGCATTATCAGTGAAAATTATAATTAAGCCTATGTTTTCTATGATTTAAAGTTATTTAAAAATTATTCTTTACAATAAAAAAACATTTAATTAGCAATAAACTGGTAAAAGACGCAGCATGGTGGGCTTACCATGTAAACATGTGACTGATATAACTATCCTAATGAAAGGGTTATGTACGTGCTTAGCCATATTATTGCTACACCTATAATAAGTGAATATATATATTATAACGAGCTTAAAAATAATTAAAGATAATCTCGATGTTTTCTTGGAATAGCAAATCAAATCAAAGTATACTTTATTCATTTTGTATACAATATACATGAATAGTGTCAATACAATAATCGTGACAAAACAATAATACTGTAGTTCAGCATTTATTGCAAAAATACTTAAATAATTGTTTTTAAGGATTTGAGGGAAGCTGCAGATTTAATAGAACCAGGCAGGTTATTATAAAAACTTAACACCTGAATAATGGGGAGAAGATTCTAAAGTTGAAGATTTGTGATTAGGGTATAAAAGGCAGCTTTTGTTTCGGGTGTTATAATTATGATTGTCCGAATTAACAGAAAATATTTTGTTTTATAAATATTAACAAATTACAGATGTACAGACTAGGAAAGGTAAGAATATTGTTGCTTTTAAATGTATTTTTACAAGAATCCCTAGCTTTGATATAATACATGCTTCTAATGATTCTTTTTTGCAATTTAAAAATGTTCAAAAATATGCATATATATATAAAATATTATGACAACTATTGTAATGAAACAGTATGTTTGTTGAGTATATTTGTAATTTAGTCAGACTTAGTTTGTTTAGTTATCACTACAGAATAGAGACAAAGAATTGTCCTTAATATATGTACATTCCTTTATTTATCATTATTTTTTAATACGGTCTTTATCTTTACGCTAAATATCTGTATTCTGTGTCACCGTTTAGTCAGTCATTATATAGATTATTATTTCATCAACTCGTGTTTTAGGAAATCTAATGCTGGAAACAAACAAAACGTGGCCCAGTCCGTCATACGAGCGCCTCATTGTTCCACAACATTTGCTATTTCTCATTTACTTCACATAAACTACTTGATATAAAGTATTTGTAATCTACGAAAAATTCAGATGAAAGCACCAAAGACGGTATTCTTGGTCTATACGATCACCTTATATTGATATGCTATAACATGGAGATACTACAACGGTTTTGGTGGAATAAAATACCCTACTCACCTTACTTTTCATAAAGACTGGCGAACGTTCGTAAAAATCAAACTTAACTAATTGTAGTTATATTAGTTAATTAGTAGTAATATGTATACACCCGCGTCCTTTGTAATTTTACTGAACGTAAAAGCATATCAGGCACTTCAAATAATTTTAAGGTAGAAGCAAAGCTCAAACAAAGTTCAGGAAGACACAAAAATGCCAATTCAAATCTCAAACTTGCACATTTTATGTGCAGAAATAAAAATCTCTTGTGACGAAATAGTTTTATAACCATGGGCAAAAACCATGGACCCGTGACCGATTTTTTAAAATTCTGATGTGCCCAGAGATCAAAAACACAATTTGTTCTAACTTTTGTTGTGGCGTCCATGATGATCACTACAACTTGGGCAATTTTTGGCCGATTTTGTTAAAATGTGAACAATTAAAGGTTACGGAGAAAATTCCAGAAAAACTGTACATTTAAAGTTCTAATGTATACAATTAGAACAAGAAGAACAAATTCAACTATTGTACCTAGTTTACTTGTTCATGGATATATTTTCATCAAATTTGGCAAATTAGTATGTGTTGTAATAAATTATTATACTATTAACATTTTATTTTAAACACTTTTCCCTTCCTCATAGCAGCAAACTTAAATACTTTTTAAAAGAATAAATATGACTTGATTATGGAAATATTTGAGTGAAAATCCTATCTGACAAATGGAAATTAACTTAGTCTGCAGGTTTGCTGTGACTATTTAAGTATTTGATTTGCTGTGGTTATTTGAGTATTTTGGCTAAATATTTGGTTAGAGATATTTGAAAATCTAAATCTCCTCAAACCCGTTAAACTCGACCGATATCAATATAGACTTAGAACACAAATGAAGACAAGTGTAGATAACAATTAGTTTCTAGCAGATAACTTTTATGTTATGTAAGATGTACGGAACAAGAAAATGAGTTAAATGAGTAAATAGTGTTAATAGACCACAAATTAAAGTTTAAAGTTAACTAATGAACAGTGAAACATTTTTTTTGGTCGGTCCTTCTATTTATATGTGAACATCACCAAAACAAAATGATGAAGTTAGCATTGTGATAAGATAATCTTGCTCCTGCCTTTGCTTAACAACTCCCTTGGCACAACGAAGATAAGTAAGGGTTATTTATGTAGTCAGTCCCTACATTTAGCATTAACAAATCATCTGGTGGAGGAGAAACTGTCGTGTTTAACTGATGTAGATGCTTTAACAGTTGTAAGAAAAAAACATTGTGTCTGGGTGTCAATATGAATACTTTTCTTCTGTTTCACCGTTGCACGATTAATTCATCACCACAATGCTATTGGCCACCAGGTAAAGACGTCATGTTGCCCGCCGAGGCGCCGACAAAGTAATTTCACGATCAAATGGTAGGCACCCACAAATTTATCAACTCATTCTAGGATTGTAATTATATGATTCATTATAAAAACATTAGAAAATGCATGCTTTTAGCATTGAATTTACTGAAGTATTTCTTTTGTACACTAAAGTTAACATCCAATCTTTATTGACCAACTGTGGGCAGTTCCATTCCAACTGTAATCAGTCTTCATAATAGCTAAACTCATAGAGGTTAAACGAGCCTGTCACAATTTAATTTTACTACTATAATTAAAGTAATACTACGCATTTCTCAATATTGTCAATACTATCAAACACCCTACGATTGTTGATAATGAAAGATGCAATAGTTGTTATAAGTTGCCCTTTAAGTTTTACAGAACAACGTTTTGTGAAAAAGAATTAAAATACAGTGGTATTTTCTTACAGAACATTAAAAATATCCCAATATAGCTATTTTTTTAGTTCTAAAGCAACAGCTCTGCAGATGTAGCATAGTGGACATATTGACTATTGTACGTATGTGCTTCTGGAGTTTAGACTTACAGTATCTGAACATATCAAATTAAAACCCCTTACTGGCTGACTGATTCATCACTAATTCTCCAACTTCCAGACTAGCTAGAAGGCTTAAATTTGGTATACTCATCATTCAGGTCAAAAATAGGAAAATTTAAATAGTTTTCATTAATATTTTACTAAAGGGAAGCGCCCCACAAGCTCTCAAAGTTCCAATGTTATTCTAATAGGCATTCAGTTTTTAGAACATTTTTTATTTATAACATCCTGTTTTAAAATGTTTGCTTTTTTTTTTATCAAGATCAATAATATTCTAGGTTAAGATGTTACCGTATATAAAACCATAAAGTTCTAAAGTGTTGCGTGTTTGGCTAAACTCATGGCTACACTACGCTTTTTATTACTTCCACCTGACATTACAACTTATTTTTGTTAATTCTATAATATTTGCATCAGTACTTTTATTTTTTACTTTAAATGTCGTGTTTGTTTGGTTTCTATTGTTTAATTTCCTTTTCTAATATGGATCTTGGATTCCTACTAGAGTTTGCAAAATTGGTGCAATCATAGCCGTTTATATTGCAAGTACCAACCTACAAGAGAATAACACGTGCTTCGAAGGGTCAATTTCGTGAATAAGATAAAGTTATTGCCTACTTTCCAACTGCATTTCCAATGTTGTTCAGCTAGTATCTGTTGTTCACGCATGAACGACTCTCGGAGTTGTTCACAGCTAATGACCGACTCCCGGATGTGACTGCACAGTGCACACTACATTACACACGTATCTCCTGTGATATGGTAATCGTTATGAAATTAATTTGTGAAATGTCTTCCTTGTTGAGTAATTTATGAATGCTACATATTTGGAATAGTTAATATGTGGCGATGTATGTGTAAATGAAAATTTCATGCTGAATAAATGTGGCTGTAAACATCAGTCTATACTGTTACTAATACAGATTTGTAATTAGTTCAACCAGTTAATACTACTGTACTGTAGTTTTAACACTCTATGAATATTGGTGAAATGTATTGCATTGCTTGACTAGTATTGGTTGAATGTATTGGTTGCAAAACTGAGTCTTCGATTATCTGAAAGTCATTTTGTCAGTAGTCCACTATAACATCTTCTTCAATTCTCGCTATTTACAAAATCTGAAATCTTAAGATAATAAATCGTTAATACTAGCCTGTAGCTCGACTTCTAGGGGTGGACTGTGGAATGATATTTTTACGATTTCCAAAATATTTCTTGTTGCTACTTTAAATATTTTGTCGACTCAAGCTATTCTAATTTCCTGACAGCGGTTTGATTGATATTTTAACAAGAATTGAAGAGTGTCTCTGTCTTCATTCTGAGCTCTTCCACCACGTCCTTCTGATCAGAGTCCTAACTTTGAAACGTGGCAACATTTGTGTTTTACTTATGAGCAATATTTCTTTAAACAGCAATGATTAAAGCTTTTTGAAGTAATTTGATGAGTTAAAATCCGTTAAAAAATCTTTTTTGAAACTATTTATATTCTATCATTTCAGCCTCTGGATTGCTTATAATCAAATAAATAAATAGTAAAGTCTTACCTTAGCAATCCTTATTATGGTGGTCCGATATTAATTTCAAAC